ATCTCAAGAGTTTCCTCGCTTTAGGGAGCCTGTTGCGCAGGTGGAAAGGTTATTCTGAGAAGGAGGGAAGGCTCAACGCTTTTTTGTCAACGGTTTTTCTGTATCTCAGACTTTGGCTTTCGTCATTCAGCTGTTTCTGTGCAATTCTCTTTTTCTTCTCTTTAGTACGTTTGGCGCATCAATTACCATCTTAATTATTTCTTTTTTTTCTTTTTGAAAATATTCTCTCAACCTTTTTTTTTCTAGTTTTTCGAATTACTGTATTCTACATTCTATTTTCACGTTTAGCTGCGGTCTGAACGATTCATTCTTTGAAGGTTCACAGTTCTGAGTTCAGTTCTACGACTCTCATTTCTGCATCTTCATTTTCATAACATTCTCTTAAGTTTTTCTTTAATTCGTTTGCAAATCTCGTTCGTCTAATTTTGACGACTTTTGCTGTTATAAACGCTGCAAATTGAACGTCAAAAATAATATGTGATTTTTAAGTTGAGTTACTGTTATTCGGCTCTCCCTATAGCTCTCTCTCTGAGAGCTTTCTTTTCAAAGTGCAAGAATTCATTTCTTCCAGCTTATTTAAATAAAATTATACAATGTAATTTTTAAATTTGTTTTATTGTAACTTTTGCTAGTCACTGGAAAAGATTATATTTTGAAATAGAAAATTAGGCTTTTTTGTTTAGGTAGTTTAGAGCTCTCAGAAGTAATATATTTCGCCATATTAACGCCGCTACAATGCTACAGTAGATTAAAGTTTCGCATCGTATATCAGTCGTAACTTTTTTCAAATATATCAATTTTCTGAGCAGCAAAAAAATATTGTGTTATTTTTACAAAATCTTTTTTTTTTTTTGATTAGTGCTATTGGAAAAGCGGTGGTTCTTCTTAAATATACAAACGATCGAAAAAAGGACATCGACAGAAAGCAGTTTTGTTTTTGCCGCAACTCCAATTTTTGGTGCAGTTTTAAAAAAATTTAGATCTTGAAATGTGCATTTTAATTTTAAGCATACCTGTTTTATAATGCGCCAAACGTGAAATGATCACATAATTATTGAATGAGAAGTGCTAAAATTCTGTGCTTGATCTTCAAAGGGACAACTTTATTAGTGAAACTGTTGAGAAATGAGGTTTTTTATAAAATGAAGCTTGGACTTGTCTTACTAATTAACTCCGTGCCAAATTTAAAAGTCTTATCACACGATTAGGATAAACAACACTTTCCTCTTTTAAAATAACTTCCTCTAGCAACTATTTTTTCAAAGGATTTTATTGTATTTATAGTTCTTTCTTTTCAGAAAGCACCTGTCATTATGTTATAGGTGAACTGGAAAAAAGTCTTAAAAGCTGCGACAAAACGGCTAGAATGGGACATCAGTTTTGCTGTTCGGGGGGCTGTAAAACATCGCAAGGGACTGTTAAGGAGAAATACGAAGAAGTACGAAAATTAGTTGAGTAAGTGACCTCAGCAATGTACTTGTTGCCTGCCATTCATAAAATTATATAAATTTTTTTCTGGGAGCTCATGAAACAAAGTTTGTTGGTCGGTTAACGCAAGAATAGCCACTGATTGAAAGAAGTACTAACTAAATGCTTGTTTGAAACAGCGAACAACGAGATAAGAATAAAATAGTTGGCTCAAAAGATTTTAAAAGACTACAGCATGAATTAGTGAACATGAAAACAGGCAAATTTTTTAAGCAAGTAAGACCATAGCAGGTAGTTGAAAAGCTAAGAACGATGAAGTTTGGGGGTAAAGAGAGAACGGTTAATGCTCGTGCCCGATCTTGATCAGCACCGATATATATTAGTACTACTTAAGGTCGTGTAGTCGAACACTGTGCTGATCAATAAGTTATTTGCGAATCTATATTTATTCGCAGTTGGAGGTTTGCCACTGAGAGGGAATAAAGAGAACGGACGAAAAAGGTGGAACAGTAAGTGAAAGAGAGCAATGAAGCTTTGTTTCCATTTCTGACCTCTGCTTTGGGCTTGTGTAGTTAAATCTTACTGCTAAAGAGATAACCAGTCGTTGTAAGCTTTTCAACTTCTCGGCTGCAAAAACTATTGGGTTAAAAAGCAGTCTACAAGCCTAACAAAAATTGACAAGTTCAGGCAATTAAACCTTCAAATTTTCAGTGTTTGGCAAAGATTATAAGGAGATAATACGAGCAAAACAAAGAATTAAAGTCTCTCAAAAAGAATTTCAGGCATAAGAGAAAGAGAGTGAGAAGTATGACAAAAGTAGTTGAAAAAATATTCATTATAGGGTAGGAGAATTTTTTTTACAATTTGGGCATTGCACTAGTAACTGATCTCATTCTAATTAATTTCGCTCTTGCGCCGCTTCAATTTTTATAAAAAATAAAGCGTGTGTTTCTGAAGTGGTTAAGCAAATTACGTTGTGGTTGTTTTTTTTTACATAAGGAAAAAATGGTAGAGCTATTAAAAAAATATGCTTCGTTGTAAATGGCGAGAAATAAACTACCAAAGTGATGTGGCTGATAAGAAGTAAAAGTACTTGATTTATTTCCAGCCGGATTTTGAAACATGAGAAAGAGGGACTTGCCGTGGCGGTATATAAAGATAACGAACTGGTCGTAGATTTATGGGGTGGCTATGCCGAACGGTTTGATCTTTACTCATTGATAACTGTGTTAATCGTATGCTGTCATTAAAAAATGAAAAGCAGCAAATTGCTTTTACCAAAAGTAAAAGCATTTCTTACCTACTTACAGTTTTGAAGAGTTTGACTAAGAAATTGCCGGCAAATATAAACGAATTATGCTTTCTAGAAGTGCATTACGGCCTTGGGAAGAAGATACGCTAACTTTTGGCTTCTCAACGACAAAATTTACAGCAGCTTTAATTGTTGCAATTCTGGTTACTCAGGGTCGAATGAAGTATGAAGACAAAGTAGGTAAAGCAGATTAAATAAAATATTGAGATTTGAGTTGTTGTCGCGTAGCTTGCGGGCGTTATGATAATAATATACTTTTTAGGTCACTAAATATTGGTCAGAGTTTGGAAGAAACGGCAAAGAAGACATTACTATACAATGTATAGTGGAACATAAGGTTATTAGCGATCTAACATATAGCATCCAAAATTTATTTATTTATTTCTCAGAGCAATAATAATGAATATAATTATACATAATGAGTTGTCAAAATAATGACTATGAAAGGTCCTTCTGAAAAAAATTAGTGAGATAGAGCATGACGAAGCAGTTTTATACTTAGCTGGTCTCTACAACCATAAAATGATGAAAAATTATAGTTGTTGTTTAGGTTTTTTGTCAAATTTTGGAACTTAAACTTTTTTGCCTGTAATACTTGCTCAGTTGTGTTTTCATCTCTTTTCGCTAGCTGAACAGGTCACTGAAATATGAGTGTGGAGCTAGGCTAATATTCTTCAAGCTGGTTCATTATTTTTGTACAAGTTTTGAAATTTTATTTAATAGTTGTTTTACAGATATACTTTTTAGGCTGGCTTGATTAAATTTGACGGGGAGTTGGAATTGAAAGACGGAAACAACTATAATCTCATATCAAAGTTGATTGAAGACGTCAGTTCTGTTATTTTTCTCTTTTTTATTAATCAATGCAAATTTTTTGTGTAAAAGAGATAAAAATGCAGTTATCAAGAGATTTTTGATTTAAGGCTTATCAGGATCTTTTGTAGCATCTATATATTTTCAATTTACTTCTTCAATCCAAACATTCTTATAAGACTGGGAGTCTTAAAGGGAAGGTAATGGTACTGACGAGCAGTAAAATAACGGCTCAAATGATGATTTACTGCTGAATAAAAGCACCTGTTGCGAATGTCTCGTTTTTCTTCTGAAACATTTCTTTTAATGCATTGTTTGGTACATATCTCACTTAACTCTGAAAAAAATCGAGAATTATTGTATTAACAATCTTATAGTGACGTGAAGCAAGATTTTTTTTTACAGTTTTGGCTTACACACAGGGGTGTTATAACGATGGTCAGAATATCTTGAGAGCTCTCCTGTTTGAAAGCTGTAAGGCGTTAAAGGTTTCTGAGCTCGAAAAACTAGATGAGGAAGATATTTTAGTTTGATTAAGTGTAAGGCTCAGAAGCAAATTAGTTAACTAAAAAGAGTTTACAATTATAAAACGCATAATTTGATAAAAACTTGCATTTCATGGTTTGGTATACCATCCTCTTGAGAGGGACAAGTTTAAAGAAGGAATGAAATGTGGTTATGACTAATCTTCTAGTCTAATAGAGTCAAAATTGATTAAAGTGGAAGTGATGAGTAGGCCTCAAAAAGTATCAAAGCTGATAAAGTCGTTTACTGCTGGAAAATGAAATTCGTCGTCGCTAATTGGCTGGTTAGAAGCATCGGTTGGGGGTTCAAATTTCTCAATTTGTTGATTAAAACCGTATTTACTTCTAATGACAATGCGGGTACATCGAATACTTGGCAGATGTTTATAAAAACGAAAATATTGCAGACAAGACCAGTGTGGCCACCAGGAACAAAAGTAGGATATCATGTTTTAACGTACGGTTGGTTGATAGACCAAATTGTGAGACGAGTGGATGTGAAAAATAGGGGAGTCGTGGATTTCTTTAAAGAAGAAATATATCCATTAGCAGCGGGTAAGCACTTTTAAAAACATATCACTTACACGTATTTCATTAAATTGTATACTGAAGCGGAGGGGGGGACAAATAGGGTGATTTTTTTTTAAAGCTGTGCGAATTGTAGAGCTGTAAGTTATTATTACTAAAACAAAGGAAAAGTACTTACAAAAAAAAAGTTGTTCATTTTATTTCAGATAAAGACTATTTTATCGGCTTACCGAGATCAGAGCATTATCGATTAGCCCGTTTAGTACAACCAAGTAGACGGGAAATTTTACGGGCGTTTATTCACAATCCAATTTATGTCAAATCTGGTATCATGAATATTTTTCAAAGTTGTAGATGTTATGGTTTATTGGATGTCGCGGGAAATTACCCTCCATGGCTCAGCACCGTGAAGGTTTGTTAAAAGTTAAAGAAGCTGTTTTATGCTGGTATCTCTGTTTCTGGTAAGAGAATTAGGAGTGGAACAAATACAGAAAATGTTTCATCCATTTCCCTAAATTTGACTTTACACTGTAAAAAATTTTTTTTGAAGGCTTTTATTTTATTTTGCTAAAAATTATATGTTATTCGTTATTATTATTATTGTCAACTTCAGGTCTTTTAAGTAAAATTAGCTATTCCAGCAAAGCATTAGAACAATAGCAGTGAAAATGCTTCAAATTTTCTTTCAGAGTGAATTGCCTTATAATAACCCGAAAGTTCAGCAGATTGAAAATCTATCAGTGTCTGGTTTTGGGACTGCTAGAGGATTTGCTTCAGTGGTTTCAGCGATACTTCAGGTACCTTCAGTAGTAGCTTTTCAAGAGAATTGGAATTGAAACTAAATTTTCAAAAGCTAGCTAAGTTATTCTAAAAAAAACTGCGTTCTTGTTTTGGCATAACTTTAGTTCATTCCCAACAGATTTTACTGAGC